AATCACAAACGAGCACCACTTACCACAAACCCATTATATGAAAATATACTCACACAACTGCAGGGGGCTGAATACCCCCCATAAAAGACGTATTGCATTAGAGGAAGCCAAACAGAATCAGGCGGATATTATATGTCTACAAGAAACCCACTTTGTTAACTCCAGAGTGCCTAGCTTCGGCACACAAAACTACCCCCACCAATACCACGCAACACACTCCTCCAAATCGAGAGGGGCCTCCATCCTCCTATACTCATCTTTAACAGTAGAAACTCTACACACTATCAAGGATAAGCAAGGTAGATACGTGATACTTCAATGCCTCATAAACAATTCACCATATATTATAGTCAGTTTATATACCCCTAATGTAAACCAACGTAACTTTTTACACAAGCTGCCTCAGTCATACTATGCGGAGATCTCAACCACCCCCTCGACCCACACATGGACACTACACTAAATACCACAACACCAAGACACAAAGTGATAAAAACGCAAAGCAAGGCGATAAACAAATGATTGGGAGAATATGGCCTATACGACTCCTGGAGAACATTTCACCCAAATGAGAACTCATTCTTTTTCTACTCAGCAGTGCACAAATCATATTCAAGGATTGATTTCTTTCTCATAGCGGGCCCATTACTTCCTAGGGTCGCAAACAGTGAGATCGGGGACATAACATGATCAGACCATGCCCCGACCATAGTGGAGCTAACTGAGGACTACCAACATAGAGGGAGACCGCCGTGGCAGCTGAATGACTCACTTTTATGTGACCACACATTTTCCAAAACATTGTCAGAAGCCCTGCACTAGTACTTCCAAATTAACGACATCCCAGATGTACACCCGACCACTGTGGGGCAAGCACATAAGGCGGTCATTAGAGGCCTTATCATCAGTCGAGCCTCCTACCTAAAAAAGAAAACACAACAAGAACACTTACACCTGCTGCGCACCCTAAGAGACACGACAGCAGCGAACATAGCAAACCCCACACCACAACTAGCACAGGTAATACAAGATACCACAACAAGCATCAACAACATAGCACTTTCCAGAACAGCACACATATTACACAAACAGAAACAGAAAACATACTCACAAGGCAATAAAGCTGGAAAGCACCTAGCATCTCTACTACGTCAAAAACAATCCAGCGCAAAAATTCCATACTTACTCACACCTAAAGGCTCTAAAATCCATAATCCACAGGACATCAATGACACCATGGCAACCTATTACCACACACTATACCATCTTAAAGACGACCCTAGCCTACACCAACCCACGCCCCAGGAAATCCAAGGTTTCCTCCAACTGTCCTCGCTGCCGACAGAAAACCATATTGCAAGACCCAGTTATACCTAAGGAAATACAACAAGCCATACACTCACTCCCCCACGGTAAATCTCCAGGTCCCAACGGACTTACAAACTCCTATTACAAAACTCTGACCACAGTCCTCACCCCACACCTAGAAAAAACCTTTAACCATATCCTCACGACAGGTCAAATACCCCAGGACATGCTCATGGCACACGTAGCTACATTACCAAAACAAGGCAAACCCCCTATGAAATGCCAAAACCTAAGACCAATCTCCCTTCTCAACACGGACATCAAACTACTAGCAAACATTTTCTCCAATAGACTAACTAATATCATTTCAACTCTAATACATGAGGACCAGGTGGGATTCGTCAGTGGTAGACAGGGAGCAGACGGGACCCGAAAGGTTTTAGACCTGCTGCAGGGAGGACAGGGCGGGGGGAGGGCCCAGTGTGTCATGTTATCAATTGATGCTGAAAAGCACTGGCCCTTCCTTCAAGCGGTCCTGCTCAAATACGGCTTCCCGGGCACCTTCCTAAGGTTCGTGGGAGCACTGTATTCCAAGCCAACAGTGAAAGTCACGAATGGGGGATTTAGCTCCAAGCAATTCAACATAACCAACGGATCAAGACAGGGCTGCCCACTATCACCTCTCCTTTATATCCTATCCTTAGAACCACTCAGACAACTCATCAGAGACAACCCGAATATACATGGCATCACAAGACAAGGCAAAGAGCATAAACTCACATTATTTGCGGATGACGTCCTCTTAACACTGGAGCAACCACACATATATCTACCAAGCTTCCACAATATACTTTCCCAATATAGCAAATGCTCCCATTATAAACTCAATGTTAACAAATCACAAGCTATAGGCATAAATATTCCGACAGAGGAAATGGGCAGGCTACGTACCTCCTTCAAATATGATTGGTGCAATGACCATCTCAAATTCTTAGGAATCAATATCATCCCAACTTTAGCAAACCTCTATAAAACAAACTATCAAAAAACACTGACAGAAATAAAAAATTTACTGCTGGGATGGAAGGTCAAATATATATCATGGTCAGGAAGAATAGCCGCAGTCAAAATGATTGTCGTACCAAAACTGCAATATCTATTTAGAACACTACCCATAAAAATACCACCCAGATTCCTACGAGACGCGCAACAAATACTACTAAACTTCATATGGGACAAACACAAAGCGCGAGTGGCGAAAGGCACGCTATATATGCCACGCAAGAAAGGGGGAATGGGAGTACCCAATTTAGACAGCTATTACAGAGCAGCTATTTTAGGCCCACTATTAGCGGCGTGCCACCGAGATCATCCAACCCAATGGATAAAACTGGAGACGCAACATGCTAATAATATACCCATCACTATATTGGCATGGCTTCCTCAACACCGAAGGCCAGCAGCAAATGAGCTGCTCCCAACCACAGCTTTAACTCTGACCATATGGGACAAGTACTGCCGCACATTGGGCTGGTCAAGCAAAATATCACCTGCCACGCCTATAAAAGCATTACATCACATGATACCAAACTTTAACTATACCCTGTGGCACTGACATGGAGTAACAAACTTACACCAACTACTTCAGGAACACACACTTAGAAGTCTCACAGACTACTACCATTTAACTCCATTGGCTTCCTTCTCCTATATGCAATTACACTCATGGTTCAGCAAACAAACCTTAACTGGGACTGGAAATGTACAAGGGCAACAGCTGACGGTGGTAGAGAAAATATGCTCAACCCCCAAAAAACTTATCTTTGAGCTTTACCAAACGATGCATACTCAAAATGATCACACAAAACTCTCATTCATTGCAGCATGGGAGAGAGAATTCACATACACTCTTGATCCACAACAATGGGAGGAAATTCTCCTTGCACACAACTCAGTTTCCAAATGTGCCTCCCATATGGAGCTATCTCGTAAAATCTTATACTGGTGGTACTTAGTGCCTACATGCATAAAAGCAACTTACCCACAGGCCCCCGACATTTGTTGGAGATGCCAACAACACAAGGGCACAATGCTCCATATATGGTGGGATTGTCCCTCCCTAACCCCCTATTGGGACAACATAACTACCATTATCCATGACAGCACAAAAACGCTTCTACCTCGCAAACCAGAAACATACCTTCTCCAGTTATTTCCGAATGCAGGGAAGACAGAAATATTTAACTTATCACATACTTATGGCTGCATTAACTGTCATTAGCAGACACTGGAAATCTGCTATCCCGCCTACAATTACAGAATGTATACAAACGATCGAAACAACTAAGCTCTATGAGCTAGCAGCCAGACGATTAAGTCACTCCAAAAAAGACTGGTCACAAGCCTGGGATACCTGGCAGCTATACATAGGGCGCGACATTATGACCTCCAAATGAGCTGACAGTGGAAAGTACCTACGGACCGACAGCTGTGCCCCTCTAGATAGTAAAAACTGTAAATAAAAACAACACACAAACAAAAGGATAAAAGTACAATAGAAGTAACTGCAAGACATCGAACGCCTGGGAGAACCCCATCCTTCACCCTTTCTCTCCTTCCCTCCTCCCCCACCCCCTAATTCAGTCCCTTCACAATTGTTTCCCCCCCTTCCAGTGGTACATGGAAAAGTAAGACCCTACAACCACTACCAAAGACAAACCCAGGCGACTGTGGACCCTGAAGGGTTTAGCGTGATTCCTTATCACTGCAATGTGAGGACCAAAATGCTAGACTAACCTAGAAAACCTAGAAACACAATGCTTGGATACCAAAAACATTGTACATGATATATGAGTAAAATGTCTTCATGTCAAGATATAGACGATGCATTACCATACCACTATTCCCAATCGCAATTCTCTTCTGTACCCTTATAAAACTTTAATAAAAATTGTCAAAGTAAAAAAAAAAAACAAAGGTGTTCCTTTGATGTAATCTACAAAGATATCCATGTTTTATGCATCTCCTAAAGGCACCAAAACTCCCACAATATCTAGAATCTTTTATTTCTTTAGCCTTAGCCTCAGTGGGAAGTGTAAAAATTATAAACTTTGTTGGGATGGATGGATCGATTCTGTTAGCAGTGTGCCAATTAAAAGAGCTTTATTAAAAGACCACTATAGTGCCAGGAAAACATACTCGTTTTCCTGGCACTATAGTGCCCTGAGGGTGCCCCCACCCTCATGGTCCCCCTCCCGCCGGGCTCTAGGGGGTGGAAGGGGTTAAACTTACCTCTTTCTCTAGCGCCGGAGGGGGACTCTCCTCTCCGCCTCCTCTTCCTCGGCTGAATGCGCATGCGTGGCATGAGCCGCGTGCGCATTCAGCCAGTCCATAGGAAAGCATTCACAATGCTTTCCAATGGACGCTGGCGTCTTCTCACTGGATTAACCATAGCTGGACCTGGCACCCAGACCACTTTGTTAAGCTGAAGTGGTCTGGGTACCTATAGTGATCCTTTAATGATGAAGATGGCACATCATATATGCATCATGGCCCTTCCCCTTTTCAGAATAACTACAATTCAGTCTCAAAACATAAGCTTTAAGAGAGGACATGTGGCCATTTTAAAACATCCAAGTAAATGAACAGGGACTAAAGAGTGTTTTTGTCAAACTTAGGGCTGCATAGTGCAAACAATGTAAAAAATGCTGAACATGCAACTGGCTACCCATAGTGTGATTTACTGTTTGAATTTAATTGTAGAACGTATTGCTTTTCACTGTATACATAGTCTATAAATGTAGCATTAATGATATTTTTTGATTAGTGAAAGTCTATCATTTATGAGTTTTGTGTCTACTATTCATGAGAATTGCCACAATTGCATTTTCACTCTTCATTTACACTGTACTTTCTTTGCATTAACTCTGTACAGACCCTTATAGATTTGACGCAGCCTAATTAATCCAGCCAGTTGGTCATCTCTCCAATATTGATGGCCTTGGATCAATTTAGTCATGGCCTAGACAAGTTCGATGCAAGTTCGATGCAGTGTCATTGTGGCTCTGAACTAAATTTATGATGTTGCAAGTCGCAACTTTTACACCTTTTTATGTTTTGTGTTGGCAGCCTGGGGATTGCATGTGCAAACTCCTGTCATCTTTGGTACAGAGTCCTTTTGTGGTTTCTGATAGCTGGTAAGGGAATCATATCTGTATCTGTTGTTCCTGAGTTTCCTATTGCCAACTCTTGAGTTTAATCTCTTACTTTGTTCAATTTGTTCCAAGTTACTGATTTTGAGTTGTCCTAGTCCTGATTACACGTGTATCAGACCCGGCTTGTTCCTGACCTTGAGTTCGCTGATCTTTGCATGCTTTATTTGTAGAGTCATCGTTAATAGTTTAATTGATATGCTTTCCTGAAAAAGTAAGTTTTTTTTTTTTTTTTCAATTTGACAATTTTTATTTTTGTCGGAAGACAAAGGGTTTCTGAGGGGTACAGAAAGGAAGGGGGGTTCAGGGGGTGCGTTTGAATTTTGTTAGGTTTGTCATTACAGTTTTTCATACCATTTAACAACAATTGTACAATAATCGACATTTCTGTTTGTTTACAATGTGTAACACTGAATGGCGCTTCCATTTGTTTACATATGGTTTTTACAGTAGGTAGAACGGATTATGTACACGTCCCTGCACGTCTTCTGTGAAAGGAGGAGTGTTAATTGTCGCCCCTATATGAGGGTCTTCATATGGTGGCGTGCAGGATGTGCTCATCCCCTCTTGAGAGATATATGTGGTATGCCCGCTTGGGGGGGGAAAGGACCTCTGTTATAGGTAGGCCATGAGTTGTTGGACCACCTTTCCCTTGCGGGCTATTTGGTTGCCGTTGGTTGGCCTGTCGGATTGTCTATGGTGTGTGTTTCCTTATTATCGTTTGCCTTCCCAGGCTATCTGGGGCTGTTCCTCAGGTATGTGCCCCCTGAGCGGGTCCATTTATGTGGGGTGGAGGGGAGAGGCAGGTTAAAACAAGGGGGGAAATAACTGGGATAACTAATGTGTCTAGTGTGTCTGCTATGAACCATCAAGGTTCTATTGTTTTGTAGTTGTATCAGTGTTGGCATTGTCCCTAGCTGCAGCTTGGAGGTTCTTCTTTTCTGTGTAAGTGGTCCAGATCTTTTTCGCTGTAGCACTCCCTTTGCCTATTTTTGTTTGATTCCATAGAATCACCTCGTAGTCCAGGGTGGTAGTGACCATTGCTGTCACCTCCGCCGTGGAGGGGATCTGTTTTTTTTCCCAGTGTTTTGCCAGTAAGGTGGATGCTGAGGTGAGTGTGAGGAACATCAGTTTAGTTATGCTGTGGGGTATATTGGTGGGCAGAAGTTTGAGTAAAAATGTTTCAGCGTTGTGTTCGAGGATGCATCCTGTGGCCCCTCTTATTATCTCTGCTATTTGTGTCCAGTACGGTTGGACCTGGGTACAGGTCCACCAAATGTGTAACATGGTCCCTGTTTGGGTCTGACATCTCCAGCAGTTGTCACTCGAAAAAGTAAGTTTTTAACGATTTTTGAAGGAATAGAGACTGGGTGAGAGTATAACGGAGAAGGTAAGGGCATTCCACAAGAACGGTGCAGCCCAGAGAAGTCTTGAATGAGAGCATCAGAGGCAAGAATAAAAACAGAGTATAGATTCAGGTCTTCGGCACAGTGCAGGGACCTAGATGGGACATACTTGTGTAATAGGGAGGATAGGTAGATTGGAGCAGCATTATATAAAGATTTGTAATTAAGTACCAGAATCTTAAATTGAGGCCTATTTCAAACAGGAAGCCAATGTATGGACTGACACAGGGGGGAAGTGTGGGTGGTATGGACAGGAAGAGGAGTCTTGCTGCCGCATTCATTATAGACTGCAACAGGGCAAGTTAGGAACATGTAAAACCACTGAGAAGCAGATTTCAGTAGTCAAGGAGAGCAGCCATCCAGTTGGAGATAGCAGAAAGATAGCCAGAGACACAAGTCAAGAAAGGTGGCGAGAGATCAGGAGAGGCGAGATAGATTTGTGTGTCCTCCACATAAAAAAGATATTGGGAGCCAAAGTAGCTGATGAGTGTACCAAGAGAGGCAGTATAGATAGAGAACAGCCGGGGAACAAGGACAGAACCTTGGGGAACTCCAACAGAGAGGGGATGGGGAGAAGAGGCAGAGCCAGAGAAAGAAACACTGAAAAAGCGCTGGGAGAGATAGAAGTGTCAAAAGAGAGCAGTATCTTGTAGACTGAGATTATGGAGGATGAGAAGAAGCTGTTGATCAACAGTGTCAAAAGAAGCAAAAAGGTCATGGAGAATTAGTATCGAAGAGTGACTACGAGATTTAGCAGTGATGTAATCATTGGATACTTTGGTCACAGCTATTTTGACATAGTGACGGGCACAGAATCGTTCGATTCAAGGAAGTCTGTCAATATTGCATCCACAACTCTCTCAAGGTTCTTGGAGGCAAACGTCAGCAGTTAGATAGGGCAGTAATTGGATGGGGAGTTAGGGTCAAGGTTGGGCTCTTTCAGAATCGGGGTTACGGTTGCATGTTTGAAGGGTGAAGGAAATATACCAGAGGAGAGGGAGAGATTGAAAAAAAGCAAGAGGAGGAGACAGAGTGCGGAATAGATATGAAGGAATAGGATCAAGGGAACAGGTGGGGGGATGGGAGGGCACCGGAGCAGAGCAGAGACCTCTTCTGCTGTAGTTCATGCAGACGAGCATAGAAAAGCGGAGGGAATGGGGTTGAGGAAGGTATTGGTAGGAGAAGGAGAAAGATGGAAGATCTCTTCCCTGTTTGTAATTATTCTGGTGTCTATAACCAGAAACATACAATCAGTGTTGGTGCCGTGATATATTGTGAACACATTGTAAATACACATTTGAGGTAGTCTTTTCGTTTGTAAACAGCGATTGTAACCTATAAAGTTTTAAATAATATAAATGATTAGAAATTCAGTAAGTCAATCTCATCAGCTGCCCGTAAAGTTATCCCAGTTTGAGTCAATGAATCTATGCATGTGAACATGCAGGGCTTTGGGTGACGAGTTGTTTATAATCACTGACACATAATGAGCAGATCATTTTAAACACAATGAATTAGTGCATGTGCAGTCTTTATTCCTGATCAACAAGTCTTTGATGGAAAGGCATTCAATTATTAAGTATTTATATAGCTCTGTGGCGTGCCAAGATTCAAAGTTACATTCCTTGAGGACAAATAAGTTAATAGCAGCATGTAACACAATTATGAGCTCATAAGGCTGATGCGATGAAACAAGATATTCTCACATTTATAGACCTTTTTAAAACACTGAAATAGCATAGAAAGCCCTATTTGCAGGGCAATTAGGCATCGGTATCCAGAACCTAAATATGCCTTAATCATTATACCCATAAGATGCTCATGTCGCTGCTACATAAAGAATGAAGGCCTGCATTGATGAGTAGAACACACAGGAAATTTACCCATCTGGCACAGAGTTCTTGTTTAGAGAAAGGCTGACATAAGGAATTCCAGTCCGAGAGGAAGAGATTGTACTTGAATTTACGAAAACTTTCTGCGACAAAACGTTTTCCGCAACAGGACGTGGAGGTGAACCTATATTTTCTGGCAATGGTGGCTGGTAGCGATACTGATATCCATAAGGCCTGAAGTGATAGGTAAAATATTCCAACATGTGCATGAGTTCAGCTTTCACATAGTGAAAGGATATCGCCAGGTCTGAGCAACAAAAGGGACCCTGTGGAGTAAAATAGATCATTATATTATTATAGAATTGATTCACATGAAGTGTCTACTTAAAGGGGCAATAAGCATCAAAACAATGTCAGCTTAATGAAGCAGTTTTGATGTATAGATCATCCCCAGGCAGTGTCATGTTCAGTTCTCTGCCATTTAGGAGCTTAATCACTTTGTTTATGGATCCAACCAACACCTCCCCTGGCTTTGACCCACAAAGCCCCTCCTCACACTTCCTGAAAAGAGAGCCTAATTGTTTTACCTTTCCTTATTGCACAGTGTGTTTTATTTGGAGTTTTTCCACCTGTTCTGTTCTTTGCCTACTAGAGCCTGCAACAAACTCTGT